TTTTATCAGACTGTCCTCTAGAGGGGGGAAAGGTGATTTATTAGGTTTATTGACTGTTATAGGCTGATCGCTTTTCCAGAACAGTGTGATGACTTTGTGAATGTGACATGTCATTTTAAAAAGAAAATAAAAGTAACTCAACTTGCTGCACCAACCTTGGTGGAAGGAGGTCACAGATCTAATACAGGCTGAGGATAAATCACATTAATCTTCACGGGAATATGTCACAGAGAGAATGTGCCTGGGGAAACAGGACTCTGAGCGAATAAAACGTTTGGGTAACAGAGCACTGAATGGTCACGAGGGAGATGGATGATTCTGAGAAGCCTCAGAGATACGATCAATCCAGGTGGATTGCATCCTGCAGCGATGTCCTTGTTGAATATCATGTTCTACTTTTTACACCTGTAGCTGTACTGTTTCCTTACCTGAACAAATTCCACACCACTTCCTCCAAATTAGAGTATTAGTGGAAAAGAAAAAAAGTAGACTCTGGTTTTCTTAGAAATTCTTGAAACAAAAAACTTACATTTGCCATTTGGAGGTATGAAGTTTGAAGAATATACTTTGTTCTTCTTCTTAGGGGTTACCGCTGGTTCTTCATCGCCTTCTTCATAGTCCTGTGCCAACAGACCCTGAAGTCCCCACAGCAGCAGGAGCCAGTGCATGGAGGGGACCATGACTTCTCTAACAGGGGTAAAGGAAAAACGATTAAAAAAGAGATGCATTTGAATACTGCACTCAAAACCCTGTACACACTCACAGAACAAGCTTTAACAAGCATAAATGTTTAAGACTCAGCCATCAAGCATGCATACCTTGCAGTGTTGCTGACTCCTTAAGAACTTGTGCCCTGTACTCCGTAGCTCTCCTGGCAGTGAAATTCAGGAAAAAGTCTAAAATAGGACAAATAAGAATTTCTTCAGTCAGAGTAAGTTTGATTCCATGTCCTGTGCGTCATGTTTATTGGCCTGTTGCAAAAGTTGTTGCAGAGTTTCCAGATGCAGCAGGCAGCATATAGTCACACCAGAAGCTGAAGCAGCAGTGAAAAGCCCCAAACCTTTATTCTGGCTCTCATGGGACTCCCATAAATTCAAGCCATCCCCAAGCTTGCATTAAATGAAGAGAAGTCCGGCCCTTTTTCTGATGATCGCTCCCTTTGGGTGAGAGTGTGGGTGGGGTAGAGAGGCAGTTACAGACATTGTAGAAAGACATGATCGAGCAACCAGTAACCTTTCCCTCTAAGCTCATTTTTTTGTAATTGCTGGTTGGGTTCCAAGTGAGTATTTATCCGTGTTTTCAGTGTGTTTTGTGGCAGTAGGGCAATTTAGGACATAAAGATAACGATATTATAATATGTCCGGTGAGAAAATGGGCAATCTATCTAGTTTTTCAATATACAAGATGCCTCACTCATCCAAGCACTTTTTATACACCTAAGTGCTTTTTTGTGTTATCCTTGCCCAAGGATACTTGGTCATCCAGATTCGAGTACCCAGAGCTTAAACCACCACCCTTCTGATTGGTAGTTGACCTGCTCTACCTCCTGAGCTGTAGCCTCTCCACTGGTGTTACTCTATTATCTAACTGTCAATATGACTGGACCATTGAAGGTAAAGCCCTTTTTTCAGGTTAGCTATTTCAGGTAACTATTTTGCCTCTTGGAGCCACTGTGAACTCATTGCAGTTTATAGATGTATGACAGAAGCTCATCTAAAAATGTCCCATTGACCCCCTGCTGTACATGTTATTAGCCTTCCATCTAAGCCAGTAGTATTTATTTTAATATTATTTTAATATTTATTCATATTTGTGTTTACCTGATAATTGTAAGTCCAGCCTTTTAGCTCAGATTTTGGACCCCACCATTAACAGAGGTAAACATTTAGCTCATTGTTTTTTCTGTCTGAATATACCGCTAATGTATATTGGATTTTTAGAATCTATTTGTGGCTAAAAGGAATAGTAAGAGTAAAAGAAAATAAAGCTTGAAGTCTCCATCAAGCCAAGGGAACAATCACTCCATGGTCATTTTCTGTAGGTTAACCAGTGCAAGCAGCCCCGTTGCGAGATCTCGCAAAACAAACTCAGGATCTCGCAAAACAAACTCGGGATCTCGCAAAACTTTTGCAAGATCTTGCAAAACAAACTCGGGAGTTGAAAAGTTGAATTCCAACGATGGCGGCAGCTACTCAGTTGTAATATTACTCTTTCTGGGTCACAAAATACACTTTTAAGATATTTTCAGGCGTGAATGTAGTTGTGTAAACGTCAGATACCTGTTCGGTTTACAAGACATCACATATTTGCAAAAGTGCTCCGACGTTTTCGGAGATCTGACATCCACTAGCTCGAAGCTAACGGGAAGTCGAGACCTACTACAGCCGGGAGGAACACCGCCTTCCCGGCACATCGTGCCTCGACCTCCCGGTCGGCTTCGAGCTGGTGGCCTGCGAGATCCCGAGTTTGTTTTGTGAGATCTTGCAAAAGTTTTGCGAGATCCAGAGTTTGTTTTGCGAGATCTTGCAAAACTTTTGCGAGATCTCGCAAAAGTCTGTCTTAATTTTTTTTTTCTCCCATGTCCCCTGCGGGGCTCCGTACTCTTAAGGTAACACACCGTGCAAAAGAAGTTACCAGAATCCACCTATGAAAACACCCAGAGCAGTTATCTGTTTTTCCTTTGACTTGATTTCCTGACATTTACAATACTCCGAACTAAGTAAAC